GGAATGACCGCACGTAGCTTTTCACTAATGGGGTGAATTCATGCAGTAACAAGATAGGATTACTCTACTGCACATCACATGAATTACAACCTGATCATCATTCCTCCTCCTTTAAGATTGCTCTATGTCTTCTAGATATTATTTAGCGGAACTTAGCGCGGTATTTTATTACAGGAAAAAGAAAACGCGAAATAAAAGCGATAGACGATAACGGTAATCACTTGGAATCACGTAGCAGAAGTCAATAGAGTTGGTGCAATGTGTCAAGAAGGCTCCTCTTACGTGAGTGGCGCATATGTCCAGTCAATACGAGTGATCATCTGTGTTCATCCAAGAAATTATAACGCGCACTCCCGGAATGATTATACTGGTGATTATTTATAACGAGTTAGCGCGAGAATATTAAATTACAAAGATTCGTACTCCATCAGCGGCATGAGCCTGTGCTCAGTCTACAGGTAATTGTGAGAATCACATTACGTTCAACAAGAGTCATAACTGCAACAATCTCACTGACTTCATCGGAAGAGTTGCAACCATTAAAAGTTAACGCGGATAAACGATAAAAACGCGCGCGAATGTGTGTGTGTGTGTGTGTGTGTGTGTAAGAAAAGACAGAGAGAAAGAATAGTATCGTTTTGGCCCCACCACTCAATTTGGTGATGGGCCCTCCACCACCCCAAAACGATTCAAAAAATCATTTTGACAACTTAGTGATGAGGATTTTCTGGGCACATTAGAATTACAGAGTCAGGAATAATGATTGATTCAGGGCCTATCAATATAAAATATAAATGCTATCTATGGAATCAATCATTGGGATGTTTGGATTTATGTGAGATATAGCTCAAAAGATAACCTTATTGCTGAGGATGACGTGGGCAACATGAACACCTAATCAGTTTTCTCAGTCAATCGTTAGGATGTTCAATCTGGCAATCGAAATCTAGAGCATGCCGATATCTCCATGCAATATATTTCACGAGATATTTCGTTTGACTGCCATAAAAAAGCCCGTGAAGAAACCTAGCTTTGTGATAAGCGTGACCATGAGCATCACAGTTCATTACCACGAGTCAGTGTGTGAGATAGAGCCATTTCGCCAGTTTCATTAAATTTAGTTCGAACGATCTTATATTTCTTTTTGCATTTGCATCTAGAAACTAGAATAAGATTCTTCCTTCTTCCAATCGGAACAATAGTTTTCCGAGTTGAGATGGCGTTTATTTTGGTGTTTCTAACTGAGTCGGCCAAAATAACACCAGGTGCCTTAAGAGTGTGAATTATTTTCTTAATTCTTCTACCCTCACAGATTGAATGTGGAAAAATCCTAGGGGACTCACGCCAATTTCCATATTTAAAATATGAACAAATAATATGAATTTGTTTATGTTTCAACATATTAAACAGATATGTATGCATAATTTCAATTTTGCTCAATTTTGTTCAATAAACCGACTGTCAGCAGAACCATGTCCAATCTGTTGTCGTCATTATCGCTTCAAAAATTCTGGAAATGGGTTTTGGTGGATCCTGTGGATTGTTCAAAACCGCTCCTGGTTCTGGAAGTGGATCCTCAGGATGGGCCAGGGCATTGTCAAACCCAGTCTGATCCATCCTGAAGATCCACCAAAACCCACTTCCAGAACATATTGTTCAAGGTGAATATGAACAATAACAACGCATTCGGGAAATAATACAAAATATTTGAAATCTAGCGTGAATTTTACATGATTTAAATAATACAAATAGATTTTGCTAAATAAAATTTGGCATGAATCCCCTAGGAAAAATCTTATAGCCCGATTTCCATTCTTCGGCTTCTTCGATTAATTTTCGTAATTGAGTGGACATATTTTCATTAGACACATTGTTTTTCTAAATCGGAGCTTCGCCTGCGTCTTTCTTTTTAGTGAGGGGTTTCTTGATTGTATAATAATTATTCAGCAGTGATTCAATAACGGTTTCGGGGAAAGAATTATCACGGAGAGTTTTAGAAGCTATCGTCTTATTGCTATGAAAATGACGTGGATCACTAAGGATCAAGATTGTACGAATAAAGTGGACAGCAGTTGCAATAACAGTGGTTCGTTTATGCGACGAATAATAATTAAGCAACCGGCCAGAAGCAAAGCTTTTACGGAACCAATTAGTAGATATACTTGTGGCTTCTCTAGTTAACGTTACGTTAAGAAAATTTATGGATGCTTCTGTATTCTCCCTTTCCAGAGTAAATCTTATCTGGTTAGGTCTGAATTCATTTAAGGCTTCAAGCGCAAGATCAACGCAATCCTTGTGGACCGCAGCAATTGTGTCATCCACAAATACTTTAATGAAAGAAATTTGTGGCACAAGGTCAAAGAGATGGATGATCACTTTGTCCATAACTAATCTGGCTACCGTGGGAGAAAGGCAACTACCCATTGGAATGCCGTCGTTCTGTTTGTATATTTTGTCGAGCGCAGTGAAAACCATGCAATCCTTAAGCAAAAACGAGATTATTCTCGCAAGAAAATCCCTATCAATATCAAAACTTAATTGGAACTCTTCAGCTTTACTCATAATGATATCAAAGACGAGTTCAAAAGGAATACTAGTAAACATTGAAACCACGTCGAATGAGACTAATACCTCATCGGTTTTAAGTCTGACACCATTTGAGTCGTGTGTCGGAAGCAAATTCTTGTTTACACATATGGAAAGAGAAAGTCCCAAGGAAGTTTTCTATCTGATCAGATTTCCCGGAAAAGCCACTGGAGCCAAAATATGGCCTCATATATAAATTTAGGGTCATTTTCAGTACATTTTATTTTTACAAAATCTTCCATATTTCCCGAGTTTTCCAAGATTTTCCAACCATTTTCATTTTATGAATGTACGATCGTAAGCTGAAAACGAATTCAAGAAAATTTCCCGGAAAATTGCAAATCCTGGAAAATTTTCCGAAAATGAACATATCGCTATAAAAGGAAAATGGAAAATCGGGGAAAATTGTGAGAAGTCCCATTCAATCGGGCGGAAAATTTCATGGGGATGGTAGCCGGAGGCCGAGATTTGGGGCCTAAATCCAACCGTTTCCGAGATATTGCGAAAAAACTGGCTTTGGTAATGGATTTTCCAGTATACTGGTAGAAAATAGTTGGTAGCTTTATATTAAACTATTACCCTTGCCAACGCAAGTTGAAAAATCCTTTGAAAAAAAAACTAGAAAGAGAAAAAGTCAATTAGGTTATAATTAAGTTAATTTGTTATAGTTATTAAGTTTCATTTTTATCATATTTAGTAACGATGACAGTCAATTTTTTTCGGACAAAGAAATTTAACGAACCTAATAAATATTACGTACACTAGAATAACAAATTGGTATATGACTTATCTGTATTTCTGCAAACATAGGCCTGACTGCATACGCAGTTGACTCATTCCAATGGAAGTGTTCGCATGGTTTTCCCTCCCTCCACGTTCCCTCTAGTTGTTGCTATTTGGGCCACTGCTGCTTCTGCTCAATCTATGTCGTTATTTTAGATGAAACCTTTGCATTTAATTTTATTTTTTAATTTAACACTTCACACATTTCATCAAACATACATTAATCGCGTACGTGCTCATTATTCAGCATTGCATATGTGTTGGAACAAAGTATCATTTTTTGCGGAAGTTTTTTTTTTCGTTTTGATATTTGAAGTAATAGTATAAACTGTGTAAAACTATGTAAAACTGTGTATGTAACAAAAGAAAAATGAGTTGTTATCGAACTGTAATGCCTCTCTATCAGCCCTAACGACTTCGGAATAGAATCTGCGACAGTACAGCTAACACTCATGTTAACACAACTGTTTTTTTTTATTTAATCACTAAAAAATAATTTTCAATGGGTTTTTTTTCTTCTTAGATTAAGTATTTCAAAGGCAATAATTTATTTTCTTCAAACATTTTACCTAAAAATTGTCGTAGATAAAACGTATCAAAAGCCAAAAATGGAATCTCGTCATTTTCAGGCTTTTTTCCTTGAAACAATAGCAACGCATATGCAATCGCAAATACACCACAAGAGTAATCATCTTTTTGTAAGCTCTTTGGACGTTTCCATACAGCATATTTATTGTTTGGATACATTCGATCGAGAATTTCCTCTTTGAGCTCGCGTTTTATATCACGTTTCTGATCATCAGTGTACATTTCAACACAACTGTCGTATATATCGACAATTTTCGTATCTGCATTGTAATATATAGCAATATAATGGCCAATATTCTTTTGAGTTTTGTCCGGGTAAATGAATAAAATTTGGATATCATTCTGATCAACCGAAAAATTTGAATATGCACACTTTTTCTTGAAATAAATTGGATTTACCATTTTAAATTTATTTTGAATGTTATTGACCATATTTGTGAAAAAATTCATGGTGATTTCACACGATAAATAAGATAATTGTTTTATTTCGTGTAAAGCCATTTCAGTAGTGACTTTTGGTAATGGTATGGATATATTTCCGTGCAATATCTCTATTAGTTTCAATTTAATCGAAATAATTTCTTGACCTTTTTTGTACACGTACTCGTACAAGGACATCATCACAACAATGAAGAGAAGAAGAAAAAAAATTAGAAGAGCAATTGCTGTTTCCATTAATGTTAGAACAATCCAAGGAAATCTATTTTTAATATTCAATTTATCAAACTTTTCACACAGTTCGTCGATATTTGGCTGATTATCACTTTTGATGAATGGAACATCCACGTCCATTGGTTCCCTTTTTATGTACATATTTCACGTAAAATGAAATTAAACCAAAATAATTATTTTTTTTTATTTAAATCCAAAATATTGTGTTGTTAAAAATATATTTGCTACTCACATTTGATTGGGAAGATTTGGATTCATTGTCTGCGTTTAATATAAATAAAAATTTAATTATTGCATCATTTAAATAAAAAAAACTTGAAACGCACTGACAAAATAGACTTACTTCGTTCAGAGGCATTTGTTGACTTACAAAAGTAAGTAGAATGATCGAGAGAGTTTGGCTTGCGCGTTGCGGTTTACATCCGACCGCCGCTAGGAGGTGATAGCTCTTTGGATAAGATAAATCTATTTGAATCTTTACAAATCTTTAAATTCTTTTTGAAACTGTCAAAATGACAGACTAACGCGATATTTATCAATATTGCAAAATCTCCATTCCTCTTTGGATTACTTTCATACGCATTGACCTTTTCAAATCTTAAATTCTGTGTCTACTGTCTATCCCCTAGATCCGTCGATCACTATACTTGATTCATGAATTGTATGCATTTGCATTTGCTTTGTATTAGTAACTGCAATCGAAAGCGGCAAGCCGCATAGTCATCATTCACCGTGATTTCGCAATTTTATGCAAGGGTCTCTGACGCTAACCTTAATGACGTGGATTTTTCAAATAGTAACACTAGTACCATAAGTAACTAAAAGAGCATAAAGTTATCGTAAACCTTTTTTAGCAATGGCACAATGATTTCAATTTTTAAGCTCAGTCTGCTTGACTCACTTCCTCCCAAATATTTAAAGTTTTGAGAAAAAAATTCCAATATAGCCGCATACGTGTTCAATCGCACACATGAAAAACGTGATCTTGGTCGAATTGAACGTTCAAAGAACATTCATAGAAAAAAAGCGATAAAACTTTGAAGTTATACCAAACATTTTTTTAAATTAAAATAAGGCAGTGACTATTGTTACATATCACTTTTTTGTTCATGTTTTTTTTTCAAGTGATTTATCTTGAATTATAGAACGTTTGATATTGTTATCTATTTGAAGTATCCGTTTAGTTATTTTCCGTTGGGCATATAGAAAGACTCTTATAAAAGAAAAAGAAATGCCACGTGTGTTGCAGATTTCCTATGTTTGCGCATTGAAAAAACGGAAACTTTGTCATGTACGATACAATGTTACATAGTGACTCACATTTATCGATAAGAACACTAATAATTGCGACACATTTCGTAATTTGATGCATTTGAATAGCATTTTTTGATGAATTATTATAAGCCATTGATAAATTATATAGCAACAATTGATTTAGTACAATCACAGTGAATTCAATATTTCGATACTTTTATCATACGAATAATTAAGTCCTACAAACTCTAGTACAAACTATATTTAAGTCATCGATGATGATGAAATTTAAATGGTTTGAATGGAATTATTTTCCAATCACATGACTTTCTTCAGAATTATAAGATGAAAAACTCATAAAAAGTAGGATTCGAAAAACCAATATCCACCTAAAGCGTAAAATAAAACTAAAATACGTAGAAATTTATTCAGAATATGCAAAAAGGGAAACTAAATCTCTTCTACTGCCCATATAAATTCATGTTTCAGTTTTGCATATTGTAATTTTATGTTACGTGACGTAACTTACGTCTCAGTGTTTGTTCCTGCAATTCTACATTTTTTCTTATCTTCCCAATCGTCATGACCGCACGATCCAGCGATAAATTCAATTTTATTCATTGCGATTTGAATAGCGTTCAGTCTTACCCTTATCCCAACTGATCCCAACAAAATGTATTAATTTCATAAAATAAAACACATTAGAATACAGCAGTTTTTTTTTTCAATTTTTTTCTACCATATCCAGTCTGCCTTTGAATTCCTGGCTGCTGACAGGCAAAAACCGATGTTAAGACTTTGTAGATCTTTTCGATTGGTTTTTGGCGGCATTAAATATGGTTTCCCATTTATATAGATTATTTTTAAAGTGCACTATACAATTACACTACAAGAAATGGCATTGGATTGTTTTTATGCCACTGTGATTCAGATGTTGATTTGAATCATTTATTTATACTAGTCAACTATGACGAATTTTCTTTTCACGAAGTGATGTGAATATTTGTGGTTGGTTTTTATTTGAGTTTTTTCAACTGTTGATGAAATGTTGAATGTGTAAGGAAAAAGTTGAGAGAAGTTTTTCACTTGATGCTATTCGATTTTTGATCAATAATTGCGGTCGAATGCATCTTAAAACTCGAAATAAGTTGATTGATAGATTATTTTTTATACAGTTTTTAATAAGTTTTGTTTATTTTTATGGTGAAATTTTGTTTTTCTTGATCATTTTTTTTTGGTATTTGGTGAAGCCTTTTTTATTTAAATTAGATGAAATATTCTTCTGTTTATTTTTTCATAATTATGAATGTAGTTGAAATCTACCAACTCATAATTTTTAAACATTCTGGAAATAAATTTTCTAAGCATAATAGTTTCATCGGCATGAACAAAGTTTTTTTGATAGATTGATTGTTTAAAAAGTTCGCATTCTTCGGGGTCTTTTCCCTGAATTAAAAGCAAACAGTATATTATGGCATACACACCGCAAGACCATCGGTCGTTCTCGTTCTGGGTGCTTTTTGGTAGTTTAAATTCAACTTTTATATTATTTCCATAAAATTTAATTAAAATTGGTTTAATCTTTTTTTCTACACTTTCTGAAAAATTACTGTCATAGACATAAACAGTTTTATTTTTATAATTGAAAAATATACATATAAAATGTCCAACAAAACCTTCCATATTTTTTATAAATAAAATTTGTATATCATCACGGTTTTTTCCAGAATAATTATGATTGTTAAGCGGATCTATCATTTTAAATTTACGTTGTTTAGCATTTACTAGATTTATGAAAAAATTTATGGAGTTTTCAATTGTTAAATAAGTAAAAAGTTGATTGATTTCATTTATAGCTCTAGCACGGTGTTGTAAAAATTTACGGTTTGAACATCTATTTTTTCTATTCACTTCGTTCAAAGTTTTAGTCATGATAGTTGAAAGTATAATTTCTTTTTGAATTAGACAACTAATTTATATGATTAAGAGAGCTCAAACCATGGCGATGCGCCTTACATACGGCTGCCGCTAACCGCATTCAATGCAGATAAGCGGTACGCGTTTGCTTTGCATTAGGAAGTGCAAGCCGCATCAATGATGCGGTATTATTCACGATGATTTAGTAGCATGCAAGGGATTGTAGCTTAGCTCAACAATACTCTCCCAGGCCTGGTTCTATACTTGCACAATAAAAAACGGAAACTTTATCATGATACAATGTTTACATGACTCACATTTATTGAAGAAAAAAAAACAGTAAGAATTTCGAAATATTTCATATTTTTTGGTGAATAATGTTATTAGCCACTATTTTAATACTGAGCAACAATCGATTTACAATCAGTGAATTCAATAATTTGATATAGTCGATTATTTTGATTTTCGTCATTCATTTTTGAAAGTTTGAAGAACTGATAACCATGAATTACTTAATTTATTTATATTCGCAGATAAATAATGATAGTTCAGGAGATTTTTTTCGGGGATCACCTTGTTTTCTGTACTATATGTAATAATAGAACATGATGGCAAATAAAGATAAGATTAAAATAAAAAGGTAACTTCTACTAGGTATTCAATTAAATGGAAAACGAACGATACTTCAATGCATTTCAAGCAATCGATCGCAATTAAAGTAAAATCAAAACAGTTCAAAATGAAAGTTGTCATTTTTGTCGTACTTCTTTTCATCGCCGTTAGTACTCCTTTTGTTTTCGATTTTATATCTTTCGCCTAATATTTTCTTATTCGCTATACGTATAACAAACGTGAACATGTCTCATTTGTATTGCTTTAGGCTGCCTCAGGTGTGAGCGTGAACAATTCAGGACTTGCAAGAAAATATGATTGTAAAATGAAAGAAATCAAAAAGGTAATGGACCCAACAGGTGATAGCAAGTGGATTGAGTATCGTCAGAAAATGGACTCAGTACCCATTAACATATTAGATTGTGGAAAAAAACCAATCTTGGAAGTGGAATTATAAGTACTCACTCCAGACCGTTGTTTGTATATTCGAAACTCATGTCAGAAGAAAAATGACTTTTATTTACATTTCAGCTGCATTACTAATGAACTTACTAAAGGTTTTGTATATATTAATACATATTCCGGTCTTCTTAAAGTCACAAATCCCGACCTCTATGACAAAATCCAAAAGAATATCAGACGATGCGGTTAATGCAGAAATTTCCATTGTTCAAAATCTTATCAAAAAAACACGGCCCAACTTTACTTTTCGGAACTTTTTTTTTTTTGGTAATTATTGTCATTTTTCCGGTTATGGGCTGCTTACGAACCTTGCTATTTCGGAGTGAGATTTGCTTTTTTGATGGATATTTTGTACATTTTTTTCTTTCATTTTGGAATAAAATTCATTGCTTTTTCGTAAATAACCGCGTTTTTGTTTTTCATTTGTATTTTGATTAATGAATATCAATATAAAGCATAATTTCAGAGATTGCATGTTGGATGCGAAAATAAGTAGCTATTTTTAGTCAATAGTTTGGGATATTTTGAAATAGCAGCTACCGCACAATTTGTTCCGAATTATTCTGAACGATCAATTGGATTTTTAGAAGTAGAGGGCAAACGTTCAATTCAAAAATAGAATGTTTCATGGTTGACATGATGATTAAACGTTTGCCCTCTACTTCTAAAAATCCAATTGATCGTTCAGAATAATTCGGAACAAATTGTGCGGTAGCTGCTATTTCAAAATATACCGAACTATTGACTAAAAATAACAACTACTAATAGCTCGAAATATAGCCGTATACAAAATGAGATCTCTGCATAATGTTTACGAAAATTCAAAGCAAAGAACAACGATATCAAATATAACTAAATTCATTTAAGTCGTCCTGATTTCAATTGTAAATGATGCACGGCTGTAGCCAGAACATCTGGTTGCAAAGGGTGTTCATATATTGCATAATTATAGTTTGCCTCTTATCTATATATTTTAAAATAAAAACTGGTTGAGCTCTTGAAACATTTGAGAGTTATTGGTAAAAACCTAAAAAAAAGTGAAAAATCGAAATTCTAAAAAGTGTTGTAATTTTGGTGGACATTCCACAAGTGGATAATAGAAGTTATTCTATTTTAAACCAAAGTACTTAAAAAGTATGATGTTGTCGTAAGGCTTTTTTTTAGCACTGGCACAAAAACTTATTTCAATTTGAGCAGATCCCATGTTTGTAAATATAAAAAATATTGATAACATTAAATAAATTTCTAAATAAAATGAAAACTAAATATTTTTAAGGAGGAATAACGGTGCTTTGGAAAATATTCTGAGCAATCATTTGTTAAACTAAACTTAAAATATTGATATGTAATCTAAATTCCATGAAAGTTTTGAAAAAAAATTCACTTTTTCCCTATATATTTCTTACAACAATTTGTTTTTATAGTGTTCCATCCGCAATTCATCGACACTTTTTTCTTTGTATTCCACCATAGCGGTGATGTTATTAAATCTTGTAACAATTTGACTGTCTATCGAATCGGTTCCTATAGTTGGTTGATATTTCACGGCCGATGTTCCGAATCCAGTGAATGATTTTTCCCACTTACTAAACACAGTTGTATTTGGGCTACCAAAAATGCTGGTAGCTTTTATGCTTTCGGTGGCTTTAAATGCCGGTGATGATACAGTCCCGAAAACCGAAGGCTTTTCTCCAAATATTGGTGAAGTTTTTGCAATTCCAAATGCTAAATGCGGTTGAAAATCCACGGGAGTTCCAAATGAAGGTGCCTTTAAAGCAGAAAAACAAATATTTTTCATTAAAATCTCTCTTACTTTAGTCATGTTTGAATCTTTTACTTCTTTAGTAGATTTTGAGACTTCATTTCGGTGACTTGTCTCTGTGGAATGCAGCGTTTTAGTTCCAAAATTGAAGCTCCCGAAGGCAGGTGTCCCGAATGAAGGAGTCTTAAAACGATTGAACAAAATCTTTTAATTGATAAAAATAATTCTTTCGTCATTGTTGTTCATTGGTGAGCTCACGGTAGACACAGTTGCATTCGTTGATGTGCCAGAACTAAATGAAGATCCAAATGAAAATGAAGGTTTAGTTGTCACGGTCGCTGTTGATGTCACTGTAGATGTTGATGAACTGACTGTAGCTTCACATGGGATCGAGAATTTCAACGGTCTAAAATCAGGTTTTTCAGTATGTTTAAACCCATATTGTGGTGCTTTAGAAGTGCAACTATTGGATATTTTGTCAGCCGTCTGTTTAGAAGAATTTACAAGAGTTCCAATTTGAGGAGCATACAAAATGGAAAAATAATGTTAATTCAATTCAAAAAATGTTAATAAAAATAGTAATCGCATTATTTAATTCAATCATTTTTCATTGAAATCATTTTCAAAAGACTCAAATTATGGTATACCTTGATGAATGGATTGATTTCTTTCTCTTTCAGATCCTTGGTGGCATCTTTTTTGTTTTTCACTTGTGTTTCGTACCATTCATATAATTGTGCCGCTTTGACTTTTTCCGTTTTTCTATAAAAAGAGTAGTTTGTTAGAAAAAAGTTCATTGAACCGATAAAAATGACCAAAAACTAATATTCGTGGAATTTTCGAAGCTTGGTAGTTCATATGATTGCTTTTGACTCAACGCTTACCTTTTTACCGAATCAAAGACATCGCTGTTTGTATTCGTTTCTTTTTCTGAAAATAAAGTTAAAAATGAGTGCAATTTAATGTTATGTCAATGATTCAATTTCATTTCGATTGATTTTTTGGTACTTCAAAGTACTACCTTTGTTACGCTCGAATTTGGCACCATAAAACTTGGAAAACAGCTTCACACTCCAGCCTAATGCCTTGATTTTCTCTGACTCACTTCGCAACAGAGAATACGCAAATGAATTAAAATGCGAAAACAGCAGATCATTCAGGTTTTTGTCTTCAAGTAACTTCATAATTGTGGTTGAACATACATTCGATGCATTGTCAATTTCCAAGTAGCGTAGATTAGGCAATGCTTTCTTTATTTTGGAAATCATACTGTCATTTATCCCATTTGGCGTAATACTCAATGATAAATGATTGATTTGTGGATTTTTCACAAGAAAATCGTCAATCCATGAATCAGGCAAGAACCTTAAGTCCAATATGACCTTTTGCAGGTGACCGAAATCAAATGGACAGTTCAATCCACGAGCCGTGAAAACACTTGACATTTCAAATTGGTGCAACTGTTTGAATGCATAGAGACGGCCACTGAAAGAGGAAAAGTGTTTAAATTAGTATGATTGAAATAGAATTTTCTTTTTGATAATGATTGAATCGAGATAAGACCGTTCATTACTTTGGCGGATGGGCAATAACACGTTCGGGCACTTTTTTTATGGACATTTTTTTGAGCTGCGGGAATTTATCGCTGATAAATCTTAAAAACGTTGGCGAGAGTACTCCCCATAATATGATCTTTTGTAGGTGATCTTTGTTCATATACAATGCTCTTTCGATGTCCGATTCATCAAAAATCGTTCCGCTTTCATCATAAGATGCTTCGAAACTTTTCAAATTGTTATAGTAACCATTGATAATCCTTCGATCGTTGATCGTAGTAAGTGTGTGACTAAATTCCAATTTCTGAACATTTGAAAAGTTTCTCTTGAATGCGTCAACGACATTTTGGCCAATTTTTCCACTTTTGAATTGAATTCGTTCGATTACTGGGAATTCTTTAGTGAAAAGATTGATCTCATCGCCTTCGAGGTCATAAAATTCAATTTCTTTCAAATTCTGCGAGCAATTTTCACTAATTACAGCGTATATAGATGGCTGAACTTTGTTGACACTTTTACAATAAATTCGCAAGTGTTCTATTTGAGTGCCGTACTTCTTCAGGAACTCAATGTTGGGCATTAAGTCATGAACGAGCACGTATAATATTTTTTCATGTCGTAAAATCTCTTGATCCGGACCCATTATCAAAAATGTATCATCCGAACACCATTTTTTAAACTCTTCGGTAGGTAAATCGCGATGAAATCGTGTCTCAGGAACCAGCAACTGTTTTGAAAGAAAGATTCGAAAATTATTCGAATGAATTTTGAACATAGATCGTTTTAACGATCCAAATTGATTTGAATAGTTGTTTTGGAGTCAAAATCAACTCACCTCTTCTAGATCATTAATCTCATGGATCGTATCTTCTATTTTCTTGGGTTTTAGGTCCGATACAAAATTTGGTTGAGTAAAAGTAAATTCGCTTGTCGTCTTATTGACTGAAGAAAAGGTTTTTATTGGCGATGCAAATTTGTTATGCGGCGGTGTCGTTTGCAGTATACCATCATTTGTGTTAAATGAATTAATTTTACGTGGATTTTGTCAGAGATGACTGAAGCGCACCGAGTGACCGAGCAACGGCCGCACGGACACTGAGTTTGCGTGCTCAAAACATGCTCAGTGCGATATTGCGCTGCAGCACAAACAAACCCACTCCATGAAGAGAGTATAAGCGCACCAACGGAGTGCGCTACACCGCACTCGTACACAACGAAGAAACAATAGAGAGGATATACAAAGAAAGAAACACAAAGAAAAGAATAAGACAATACACACTCAACTCTTTATATGTGTGTATAAACCATAATAGGCAACAGAGTTAGAGTGCGCACACATTTCTTAACAACAAAGTCAGAGTGCGCACATAAACTCATAACGAAGTGAGTGTAAACGCACAGAGCAGAAAACGACTCTCAGTTGAGTTGCTGAATACGCTACTGAGCGTGCGCTTAGTCATCTCTGGATTTTGTCGATTGATTCCTGTATATCGAACGGCCAATTTTTTTCGTTCCTGCGATCTTCCAGTGTTTGATATCTTACTATTGAAATTCCTATTTTGCGTCGCCGACTTGAATATTCTCTTCGACTGACCAGTGGTTTCGTTTTTTTCGTATTGGCAAAATGCACATATTCCACTCCGTTCAGAAATGACACTATCCACCGATGTTGTTTTCAGTACACCTTCATTCTGATTTGTATTTAAAAGGGTGCACAACAATGAACCATCACCAGAATTTGTATCCAATTTAAATGCTTCTGATCCAAGTTCTTTACTGGATACTGGAAAAGGGAATATATTGAACATTTTATTTTAATTTAGTAAGAAATATTTCGTTGAAACATCGTCGAAAAATATGTACAGCTTAAACGGCTTGGGGTAGTTAGTACTTCTATCAATATTTATTGGCAACTTACTTTTAAAATGGAATCCTCCATTGGACTTAGCGATTTCTGCAAAAGAGAACGTGGTAGCTTCCGGTTTTGCTACATCTGACTGTTCGCAGATGCTGTCCTTTGGTGGTGTGTCGAGTTTTGGTGACGGTGGTGTGGCAAGACCGCTATCGACCGCAGCAGTCTATTCAGGATTAGACATGAATGAATTTAATCTAATTGTTTAATTAAACGTGATTTTAAATGAGTCAAAAACCAAAATGTATCGATTTTTTCTTTCTTCTATTCTTTATTTTATTCTCTATTTCTTTGTTTCTATCATCGACTTACCCGATTCTGTTCCATTCGTATCATTTTCATCCACATCAAGATCAGTATAATGACTGCACCGTACAATCCACTGATCAGTATGATCATTACTTGCTCAAACTCCATCTTTCTATAAAACCACCGGATAATGGGACGAATAGAAATTTAATGTTAATTAAATTTTCGTACGTTTTGAATCATGTAATTAAACATTTGATCAAAGTAGAATTTCGAAAAAATGTCTCGAACTTCACTAGAGTCTTCAAGAGATATGACAAAATGATGAGATTTTATTTCATTCGAAAAAATAAGGTTACTTATAAGTCAGTAGCACCGTATTTATGGGCAATTTCAATAGCAATTTCATAACATTTCTTATCACTTTAGTACGATCGATATGATATTAATGTAAATGTTACTACACGTGCAATATTGTTGTGCATTCACTTTAAGTTCACAATAAATTCTTACGAAGCAACACGAGAATTTCCAATATATTTGATGTCTTGTAGTCAACACACAAAAATGCCCACGATTGACAATCAAGAAAAACCTTGCAAAGACTCTGTAACGTCCTGTACTAGCGTTTGTCTATTGCATGTAAAGTACAACCACGTTGCGTAATATTGCTTGAGCGATAATTGTTATAACATAACAATTTATAAAATGATCGATAAAAAAAATATGATTTTGGACGTTATAATATTCAAGAGACTTCTTATTTCTACGCAGACGAATGTTAATCTACACAATTTGCAATCAATCCATGCGACACAACTTATTACTGTCCTAATAATGTGAAAAACTTTTTTTTGAACAATAATTTGGTATCATTTGGTCATATATCAGACTTTTTGGTTGATTTTTGTTATTTAATAAATTCAGTGAAACAAAAACACATTTCATCCTTTAACTCAGAGCGAAATAAACCCTCACACTTTTCACTCAACTTTATCGTATATTTTACATTCGCTGAACTATGATATTTTGTGTCGTTTTAATTTGAATCTTTTGTGAGTAGCACTTCCGTTCAGATGATATCAGTCCCTTTAATATCATACAGTAACACAATTTATTTCATCATAAACACGTTTTTTTCTAAACAGATTTTCTTATCAATTCGTATTTGGATCTAGATGTAACTTCTAGTTTGTTTTTTTAACATGAGTTGAAAAAATTTGGATTTTACATTGCTTTCCATGGAATAAAAATGAATTTCACAATAAGAAGAAGAGGAAGATCCAACTTGTTTCAGTCACTGCTTTCATCGCCACCATGGTGTGTATAAAAGCATTAGATTCAAGAAAGTATGCATAAATATTTGTGATTTGAATGTATTGGTTTTGTTTTTTTTTCTTCTCTATTTCTTTCTAGCACTTGAAACGTTATTCACGGAACTACGACAAAAAATGTTGATGAATTCAATTCGATTTGTTTCATTTAAAATGAAATAATAATTTTTCAGCAACAAAACCGTCGATTGTTCTCTAGAAACACCAAAAAAAACGTACTCTCTGTTCATGTTCTGTCGAAAAACTGATTATCCAAATGGTTCAATTATGGACTTATACGGAAATGCACTGAGTTGTGCGGAGATAGACGAAACAGTTTATAAGGATCCGCATACTAACCATTGCGCACACAAACGCAAACTTACGTTTGTGTTGTTTACTATTCGCCTCTATCTCCGTGCAGCTCTGCGCAATTCTGCAAAAGTACACAGTTTTTTTTTTATTTGGGTAGCTAAACTCATTTCATTTTACCGGAAATTAGAATGCAAGTGAAAAAAATCAGAAAATTATAATGTAAACTTTTGAATTTACGATGTTGAACCAATTAAAAACACAATTTGTATTGTCAAATATACGGATTTTCGGCTGTTGACTTCATCACAACTGTCCACAAACGATAACATATAAATACTGCTTATGACTGCTTCAAATTACCAATCCATGGCTTGGTACACAGATGATTCAAATCCTACATTTGCGCTGGCCAATCTATACATGTAAAGCACACACACATGCGTAGAACTACATTCTTAAAATATTTCGTCGTAGATTCATTTCTCGCATAGCATTGATCGTGCTTACGTCATTCTGTCGTTGAATGTCGGCTATTGTTTTGTTTCTTTCCTCCTTATTCGTATCGAAATGAACACAACTAATGCAGTCACTCAAAATATGAATGTATCGGTCCGCAATCACAGTTCTGATGGGTGACCATTGAAACATGTAAAATTGTGAACAAGTCGATTTTGATTTCGGTTTGGAGTATTTCACTCTGCGATTTTTGTTTGGTCAATTTTTTGCACAATGCGATCGTATATCTCACATATCAGAATATAAAAGAACCGACACAAAACATATTTTGGCTGCAGCCAAATGGGTTTTCTCCAAAAATGTGCACACAAACTTACTTTAAATTATTATTATGATCAGAATGATTAGAAAATCAGTTGCAGCTAGTTTATAAGCTATTATCACTTCAGATACGATATCGATGCAATTGGTACTGCATGTGCAATTCATCGAATGCATACCATTTTCAATTCACTATCAATGTTTATAAAGTGATAACAGTTATCGGATTATCGATAAACACTATCAAATTCAAGCAATTTCTTATTTTCCACACGATTGGCAATGTCTGTCTTTTCTTTAGTAACACATTTCAAGGCGTCATTTTGCCACATACATATGTCGATAGCTCTGATTGTCGTCAAAATTATTTTTGTTATTATATTAAAATGGAACATTTTTAGTTAAACGAAAGAACAAAATTTTATCATTCAAAAAAGAAAAAAAAAACGGAAAAATCAATTGCAAAGATGCATAAAAAGTAACATGATATTTCCCAAAATCGGCGTCGATGGGCAATAAATAAATTTCCTAGAAAAAGTAACAAAATTGAAGGTTTTGATGTTTTCAAGGGTCAAAACAAAATATCTTTATCATTGCCCACAACGCCATATACGCAAATGTACACAAATTTGCTTTGAACAAAAAAACACATGTGGCAATTGAGCGCAATGCTAAAAGTGCTATGTATTGAGTGAAAAAAATCTCTCTCTTTTCTCAGGTCATAAACCAACGTTTTTTATGAATGTATTTGGGTCCTCTTTTCACTTATTATTTTTTTTCTAAGAATTCATCACACTCTAAATTGGACGCGCCACTCTCAAGTCGTATATGACTCACCAGTGCCGTTGTCTCGTTATGCGGCGGTGTGTCTCCATGGTAAATTTAACAAAGTATAATGCATACTAATGATTTACGATCGTACAGTCGAATTTGCCTTTGACGTGCCCTGCTCAATTTACACTTCCACAAATTATGAAGGTTTGCAATGCTCGCTTCGATTCGAGGTTAGAAAGATCATAAGCAGTTTTAACCGTTTTTTCAATAGTGTCGCTTAGTGCCATTTGTGCACTTCTTCTTCTATTCACATGTGAATAGGTATTTGGAATCGATATGAGGGTATTGATTATTTTCAATTGCTTTTCTGTGGCAACTCCGATTTGACTATGAACTTTATACATTCTGTTTTTGTTATCTCTTCAGTGATTTCAATAGCGGTTTGTGTCTTTTTAGTGAGTTTATCAACTGCGTTATTGAATGCGTTTGGGAATCATATCACTTTAACCTCACATATGCATACAAGTATTGAGCAGTTTTCGTTTTGTGCATGCAGGGAATGATGCAATTTCATACTTAAACATGAAACTTTTGAACATATTTTGCTTCATCAGTTGAAACGTTATTCACGGAATAACGACCAATTTTTTTACATTTGAACTCAATTCGATTCGTTTCATTTAAAATGAAATTGGAAATTTTTCAACAACAAAACGGTCGCCTGTAAACTTTTGAATTTACGACCAATCAAAAACACAATTTATGTGTCAAATTAGCCGATTTCACGCTGATCATTGAACAAAACCGCACTTCATAGCGACTAAATCCATGGCTTGATACAAAAATGAGTAGACTCCAACATTTTCGCTGGCATACGAATCTATACACGTCAAGCGTACATACTTGAGTTTCACCACAATCTTAGAACGATCGGTCATAAATTCACTCCTCGCATATTAATCTCGCTTACGTGATTGCTTCGGCATTCCGGCATTCAGCGGTTATTGTTTTGCTAGGGGCAATTCACATTCGCGAATGTCATTGCCATTCGCAGAATAAGAGGCATTCGTGCCTGTTTCGCCATGTTTTTGGATTGCCGCGCGATCATTCGCGCGACGCTCCATAGTGAATGTATTAACACATTCGCACAAGCATTCGTAGCCATTCGCGAATGGCTACGAATACTTGTGTTCACTCAAACGTCAGTAGCGATTGAGCGCTAAAAACGCCATAAGCAATGAGTTCACGTGTGTTTCAGATATTAGAAAAGAAATTAGCCGAAAAACTACCGGCAAATTTTGAAAAAATCATAAAAAGTACTGGATTTGAATGCGAAACTGCTCTGTTATCCATTGATTCTAAAAGCATTAGCGATATAGAAGAATTTATAAACGAACATAAATTTTATTTGAAAGATACGAATATTCTCTGGCAAATAATTCATTAATTTTGTCGATACCAAAAGTCTTGAATCGCACCATAAATAAAAAACAAAACAAAATCAGTGTAAAACAGTATTTTCAAACGAAGTATTTTTGAGTTTTTCTAAATTTTCTTTCACAAATTCTTCAATATCGTTGATAATTTCACGGTCAATTAACATAAGCGATGACTCTGTGTCATGGCATAATTTAAGGAATTTCGATTTTTGAGTATTGACAACTGC